AACTTTATTTAAACTCAAATTTTTATTATATTTATTCCAGCAAAAATTATCTTTATAATAAACACAAATAAGATTTTTTAAAATTTTGAAAATTATTTTAGCAGTTAATAAACAATTTAACTTTTTTAGTGAACAGTATTTTGGTTTATATAAAATGATAAATTTTGAAATCATAAAAAAATAAGCTTTTTTCACGGATTCCCTTATAAGAATGATTTATCTTAAATTATATATATTTAATTAAATAAAAAGATTGATACAAATGATTTATTTATAAATTATAGAGTTTATTTGACATATATTAATACTCTCTCTCATCTCCACTATAACCAACTTCTAATAAATAGTTCGATATTATTGGTATCTAATCTAGCAAAGTTAATCTTATCTTTTATATTACTCTATTGGCCATTAATATTATATTAAGTTGATGATACCACCTATATAAAAAAATTTATATAAACTATATACATTGGAATAACGTAATGCAAAAAGAAACAACAAAAATAAAAAATGTTTTCAGATGATAACTTCGGTAAGAAAGCGCAAAGATGAATATCTAACCAAAAGAACAAAAATAAGGCTAAAAAATATTTGAGGGAGATTATTGGTTAATGGAATGGTGAAATTAGGAAAATTGAGATATCCATTAATTTTTAACCCATATTTATTACCAAGAAATTGCCAGTTTATCATATGCCTAATTTATTAAATAATATTACTTTTTAATACTTGTTTAAAATTATTATTGAATTAAATATTAAATGCTAATTCATTTCATTTAAATAACATCTTAAATTCCTATTAAATAACAATATATAAGATTTGAGAAATTATTGGGAAAAGTTTCAGAATAAAGATAAGATGATTCTGTTATTGAAATATTTTTTCATTTGTTAGTTTCGCAAAAAAATAAATCCATATTCTCCAATGATTTTAAATAAATTTCAATATCAATATTACGCTATTATAAAATTTTTGTCTTAATAAAAAATGGATGAAAATTTTTCATTTAATTAATACAAAATAATACATATGCTCTTCTGAAAAAATTTCAAATTAAAAAAATTAAAGAATTTCTTTAAGAAAATAATAAACATAATATAATCATAATTATCCTGTAATATAATTAAAAGCAAAATATCCTTGATAACATAATATAATCTATTGTAAGAATGATCAAAATTATGTGAAAAAGTTGAATAGTTTCTTAATCCTTATTTCTAGTTCTGTTAATTTTTAAAAGAATATATTTATTTTCAATTATCAATTTGTCTTTCTAATATCTTAATAATTAGCATTTGATTTAATAAACAATTAATAATCCATTATTACATTACTCTAAATTACTCCCTCATCATAAATATAACCTTTTTTTATTCCCAGAATACAATACTTATAATTAAGTTTTTGGCTATAATTCTTACTTTATTCTATATATTAAAATAAGCAATAACTATGTTTATTAAATTAAAATGGTAGTACTATTACAAATTTAACAAGAATATACTATTATTAAATATTATAATCTAATCCCTTGTGTCTAAAATACAATTATTATCAATTTTAAGGATTAATATATGAAAAGTATCCTCATTATATTAACAATTCAAATCAAGATTATAGTAACTGCTCAATGACATATAAAAACAATTAGGTATGAATGCAGAGGGGATAATATTTTTTTAACTTGTTGTAGTAAAATAAAATTAAGATTTAAAGAAAGTCAGCAATTATCTAGAGCTATGGTTTTAGAAGAGGATTGATTCAGCTATTAAAATTTATATATGTTTATAAGAAAAAAAAGTAAATGACAGAGTAGAGAAAGCAAAGCAATCTGTGTTTATAAGAAAAATAGATCTGTAAAACTATCTGATAATTGCTAAGGCAAAAAAATCATTATAGCCTAGTTATATAAAGCACACATATTATTAATGACTAACATTAGAGTTCAAAATTAATAAATGATCATTTGAACTCTCAGAAAAACTCAATCATATAAAAAAATGATTTCATAATCTTAAGTAATTTCCTTTAGAGATGAAAAAAATTTCAAAAAACCTTTAAAATCGTTATCAATTATTCCAAAACTTTGAAAATTCCATTCATTTGATGATCTAACAATCGTGAAAAAATTACAAGATATATATAATAATTGATTGGAAAAGAATAAAAGATTATGGTATTTAATTTGTTGAGCTTCAATTAAGAAATTTGAATTCAATAATTAAGGAAAATTTACAACTGCATAAGCAAGAGTATTAATGTATACAAGGCTATTAGCTTAACTTGATACTGAATAATAAATTATTATATGTGAATTATTTTGATCAAACTATTAAAATTCAAGTTTATTATCAAATAATAAAACAGAATAGTCAAAGAACTTTTTGAATTTAACTCATTTAATATATAATAGTTTAAACAAACTTTTTTTTATAAATTAACTGTAGAATTCATGTTTTTTTATAATCCATTTTACCAAAAAATTATAAATGCAATCTGTGATTTCATATTTCCATTCCAACATCCCTAATTGTCTAATTGTTCTTTATGTATTTTGAAAAAGAATTTTAGAAAGTAGGTTATTTAAAAATAATTTTATTTGAGAATAAATTGATTCTCCATGAATTATTTGATACATATTCAATAAATTAAGTTAAAAATAATATAGAGATCAACTTGGATTAGTTTTCATTCCTAATAAGGTCTTAATATTCTTATTGATTTTATAGTTTTAAATATATCTAACAATGTTTTATCTAAATGTAAATTTCGAAGTAAGAATTAGAGCATTGGAAATTAATGTAAAATATTATTTTAATTTTTAAAGTTAATTTTGAGGTTTAGTGGATCAATTAAGGGACTAAAATGGCTATATTGATATCTAAAAATTATATATGTTTAATTATAGTGAACTTCAGTTTTAGCCTTATCTTGCTGATATAATGAGTGATTCTCTAGTTTAAAATGATGTTCTATAAAAATAAATGAAGAATTAAGACTTTATTAGAATCACTAATTTCATAGCTCCAATTAAATCGTTTTTCTTTCAGAGTGACACTAATAATCAAATTGATGATTACTTAACGTTCAAATTTTTAAGATTTTTACTTACAATTCGAAAATTATTTATAAATATAATAAAAGAAAGAATATAAACATATTGTTTGTTGATTAAGCATTATAAATTATTAAATATAATATGATTTTTAATGACATAATCTTAGTTATGATGTCAATTAAATCTATTGTCAATTTTATTTCATTCAGCTAAATTTATTACGTAAATAGTAAATAGGAGTAATTAAATAAATGTCTATAACAAAAGTCAGTTATTATTAAACTTTGAGATCTAGAATCAAATGTATGTTTCAGGTGATCGGAAATATCACTTAAAACAATCATATCTAGCTCAAAAGATTCCTTGTACAAAATAAGTGATTTTCTAATATTTTAAAATTTTAACCAATTAATTGTCATACATTACCACATTTTTTAAAGTTTTCTTCATAAAAACTGTATTTTGAAACACAAAATGACTCTTAAAGTCCCTATGAAGTTAAAAAATCCTTTAAATCTTATGAGGATGTAAATGTTACAATATTTTTTTCTCTAAAACATCAGATTGATTTAAAAATATCAAAAAGTTAAATGAACAATAAATTTGAATCCTAATTTCGAGAATAGTGATTTAACGATGCAAATAGTAAAATTATGATCAAGGCCAGTAAATTATTAATAAATTACAACTGCCATTTCTCTAAGATCAGTTTGCGGTATAGAATTAAAGGCATACCTACTATTGATTAATAATATCTAACAGAATAGAATAATACTAATAAATTTTCATTTTTTACAATAGCCATCGAAACCTTCTTTCTATTAATCTAATTTTATATATTCAAAAAAATTAAAATTAGTGCAGTTTCTAGATTCTGCATCCTATATGTATGTTTTTATATCTTTCAAATAATCGATTTTGCATTCTTATAATATTTTTTCAGTTTCTATAGTGTCCTTATTTATTATGTAACATTTTTGTTGTTCTAATCACGCTTCTTTTCTAATATTTTATAGAAAAGCTTTTTAATCTGTTCTTTGGAGAAAAATTCCTCATTTTTTGTTTTAGCATTATTGATGTTTAGTTTGATTAATTTGAAGTTTCAAAACCAATTTTTTCAATAATTTCAAAAATGAAAGATGTCTTAGCATTCAGGATGTTTAACATTTATAAGCATTATATTTAAATTTCATTTTTAATTTTTTGAATTTGAACTTAAATTCTTGATAAATTACTCTAATTTTAATATCCATATTTGTAGACTGATATCTATTTGAACGCCAGTTAGTTTTTTGTTGAATTATATGCACAAACCATTATATTTAATAATTTATGACCTACATTAATATATATCTTAATTATAATTTGTTATTACTTTAAACATATATCGCCTAAGGATAGATTAAGTTATCAAATTATAAATGAAGTAATGATTTAGGTTGTTGTAACACTTTATGGATAGGATTGTTTATGATATATTCATAATATAAAAATATATCAGATTAAATTGTGATTCACATAAGTAAGAATCAATGGCTTAAGCATATTTTCTCAGCAATTTCAAATTTTTTTTTGATATTCTTATACTAACTGTAGTCCTTATCTTAATTTAATGACAATAAAGAACATAAAGCCTTGATAACCATTAATAATTTGTTTTATTCATCACTGCAATTAGATTTAAAATTACAAAAATTAAAAAGAATTCTATTCATGTTTATTTTTAAATTTCATATCCCAAAAAGTAACCATTCATCATCATTTATTGATTATCTTTAGCATCAGTTCTAAATATTTCAATTTAATTTTAAAATTTAAATAAACATAAGCATTCTCATCTATATCCGTTTTATATCTATTCTAATCAAAATTTTCTTTAATTTATGTATATATTTCAAATTTTCGAACTGTTTTTCTAATATGAAATCGATATATCTTCATTTATAAAAATTTATTTCATTAGCTATTAGCTGTCTTCTAATATAACACAGCTAATTTACTATCCTCTCTAATTATTGTTAAAAAATAATATTGATCTACCACGTTATAATTGAGACTTAATCCCTAGAAAAGTGAGTTTTATAATAATTCGAATCTAAGAGATTTAAATCAAATACTAAGTTTTTCTAAATTGTATATTTCAAATTAATTATAGAATTTATGTTATTATTATTAGATAAAATTCATCATCTAATATAACTTGTAATTGCTGTGAATTATTGATTTTATGTAGTTTAGAGTAGAATAGAACTTAGTGTAAATATAAAAAGTAGACTAATAGTCACAATGAACATTAACTTCCAATGAAGTAATTTCAAGCTTTGTCAAATTATTATTAATTTTAATAAATTCAAATTAATCATAAAATAAATGCTTAAACCATGTCAATTGTTGATTTAACACAGTTGATGAATGGTGAATATTTGCCAATATATAGCTGGTACTGCAGATTAAATTACATTAACACGGATATTTATAATTTTAATATGTCTAATTGAGGTAGGAAATCATTATAGAGGATCTCAATATTATATTTCATAAAGTTCATTCAAATATGAAGCAACAAACAACTAGAGGGCAATACCTTATCATTTAAATATTTCTAACCTACTTATATTCAGATTATCTATTCCAAAACAGGTTTGATGATGTAACAAATTATAATTGCAGTTTTGGATGTAAAAGGTGGGTCATGAATACAAATAAACCTGTTACCAAATTTGTATTTGTTAACACGCATACTTATAATAGCCTATTTTTAAGATGTGCTAACTAAACATGGATATTTAATTTTTGACATCATGATTTAGATTGATTTTATCTAGACTAGAAGAAGTTAACATTGAATTAGTATACTTAATCAAAGTTTAGTATTAAATTGAGGGGTTTGTAGATTTAACATAATATTTTTCCTCAATTCAGATTTTATACATTTCCTATTGCATGATCTATCATAAATTATGATATTAAAACTACTCTAATAAAAATTTAACTTCAGGCTCAATATTCTTAGTCTATTATAATATCAAGTTTAATAGTTTGAAGAACCAACTTATTCAGCCAAATCTTTTTATAGGAATATACAATATTAATCCTTCAACTACTATCTGAAATGAGATTTGAACTATTTCAAATATTTTAGCAGATAACTTGTGTTATATTTAAAAATGAAATGGTAAAACTCCCTTTTCATATTTAATTAGTTCATAAGAAACTAAATTTAAAGTAAAATTTCTGATTATAAAAATTCAAGGTAAGGTCCTAACATCGATGTGGTCCTTTTATAATCCTTTTTTTTAAGTATATTTTTTATTGTTTTATTTATGTATTCAATTTTCAAGATTCTCACAAATACATAGATTTAAGTTTCTCTTTAATATAATGATTTTCACTTTATTGATTGCGTTAACCTAATTGATACTTTTACATTAAAATTTCGCAATATTATTTAATTAAGATTCTTATAGAATTGTTACATTTTTATCTAAGTATTTAAAAAGTCTGGCCGATATAAAATTTTACTTTCTTTAGACAAACTTATGCCGAATAATTATTAAATTATTTTATTTATAATTATTATTTTTCTTAACCTCTGGTGGCTGTTATTAATTTGAGGTTTAGCTGAATTATTAATAATTTAAATACGATAATTAGTTATGTTAACTTTTTCTGTTGTATTCAAATTAATTTAAAATATTATCTTATATCAATTCAGAATTTTGATTTATTGAAGTATATTCTGAAGAACATTTTTAATTATTAAAATAATATAGATTAAAATTAATTGTGAAATATAACAAAGTAATCAACATCATAAAAAAATCTAATTCTTGAAGCATATGTTAGCAAACACTATTACACAAGATTTTCATCATTGCTTTATTCATTATACTTATCCTATTCTATGTATTTAAAATATTAACTGACTTGTAATAGATGTTTATCTACTACTAAACATTTCTTTTAACTATCCAAAAATATGCTTTAATGCATTAAACCCAGCCTAAAAGCAGGCATAAATGCGCATGGTACTATATCAGAAATTTCTTCCATTAATATTGATTTATGCATGCTAGAGCTGTTCATAATTAAGATAAAATTTTCTCAATAATATAATCTTTGGCTTTATTTATAACTTAAATCAAAAAGCTTGAAAAAATATATGCTTTACCAGTTCCTTATAAAATGCCTAAATTATAAAAAGAAATCATCACTCAAAAAACCCTATAACTAGATATTTGTTGTGTAGATCCCTTGAATATGTAAAAATTTGGATATGTTTCCTAAAGAACAATCATAAATGAAGATAAGTTTGCATTCTTAAGTTAAATATTTGCATAATTATGAAATAAAATTCCTTGTCTCTTATTCTTTTTCAATTTTATTAAAAAACCTGAAGGGTTTCAGAAAAAACCAATATTTTTCCTTTTTGTAAAATTTTAATAAAAAATATTTATAGGAAGAATCTTTAGAATTAAATTTTTTTGAATTTATTGCATTTTGGTACTTTTGAAATCCATAAAACCCAAATCTATTTTTTCTTTTTTTGTTATGATCATTGATTAAATTTATGTTTGAAGACTTTTATCCTTAATAAATCTTTTTTAATAATAACCTAGATTATTTTCATTATAAAGGTTTAATTTATCAGTAAATCTTAATATGCATTAAATATAAATAAAGGATTAAGAATTCCAATTAGTATTCTTTCCTTAAAATCTTTGCTACATCAACTGCAAGATTTCTAGGTCTTCTTCAATTTTTATAAATTTTGAGACCAGGTTTGTTGTTGTATTTAATTAATAGAAAGAAGTTATCCTCTAGCTTCAGTTTAGAATTCAATTCTTCTTCTTCAATAGAAATGTATATTTATGAAATAAATTTTTGATGAATAAATGCAATATCTTATTCTAAATTTTATTTTATCATAGTTTATATCATATGTATTTATGCTCTAGAAGTGATTAAGAGCACCTACGCACACTGATCTGCTTATTCCTAATCTAAATCTGAACTAATCTTTANTTGAGGTTTAGCTGAATTATTAATAATTTAAATACGATAATTAGTTATGTTAACTTTTTCTGTTGTATTCAAATTAATTTAAAATATTATCTTATATCAATTCAGAATTTTGATTTATTGAAGTATATTCTGAAGAACATTTTTAATTATTAAAATAATATAGATTAAAATTAATTGTGAAATATAACAAAGTAATCAACATCATAAAAAAATCTAATTCTTGAAGCATATGTTAGCAAACACTATTACACAAGATTTTCATCATTGCTTTATTCATTATACTTATCCTATTCTATGTATTTAAAATATTAACTGACTTGTAATAGATGTTTATCTACTACTAAACATTTCTTTTAACTATCCAAAAATATGCTTTAATGCATTAAACCCAGCCTAAAAGCAGGCATAAATGCGCATGGTACTATATCAGAAATTTCTTCCATTAATATTGATTTATGCATGCTAGAGCTGTTCATAATTAAGATAAAATTTTCTCAATAATATAATCTTTGGCTTTATTTATAACTTAAATCAAAAAGCTTGAAAAAATATATGCTTTACCAGTTCCTTATAAAATGCCTAAATTATAAAAAGAAATCATCACTCAAAAAACCCTATAACTAGATATTTGTTGTGTAGATCCCTTGAATATGTAAAAATTTGGATATGTTTCCTAAAGAACAATCATAAATGAAGATAAGTTTGCATTCTTAAGTTAAATATTTGCATAATTATGAAATAAAATTCCTTGTCTCTTATTCTTTTTCAATTTTATTAAAAAACCTGAAGGGTTTCAGAAAAAACCAATATTTTTCCTTTTTGTAAAATTTTAATAAAAAATATTTATAGGAAGAATCTTTAGAATTAAATTTTTTTGAATTTATTGCATTTTGGTACTTTTGAAATCCATAAAACCCAAATCTATTTTTTCTTTTTTTGTTATGATCATTGATTAAATTTATGTTTGAAGACTTTTATCCTTAATAAATCTTTTTTAATAATAACCTAGATTATTTTCATTATAAAGGTTTAATTTATCAGTAAATCTTAATATGCATTAAATATAAATAAAGGATTAAGAATTCCAATTAGTATTCTTTCCTTAAAATCTTTGCTACATCAACTGCAAGATTTCTAGGTCTTCTTCAATTTTTATAAATTTTGAGACCAGGTTTGTTGTTGTATTTAATTAATAGAAAGAAGTTATCCTCTAGCTTCAGTTTAGAATTCAATTCTTCTTCTTCAATAGAAATGTATATTTATGAAATAAATTTTTGATGAATAAATGCAATATCTTATTCTAAATTTTATTTTATCATAGTTTATATCATATGTATTTATGCTCTAGAAGTGATTAAGAGCACCTACGCACACTGATCTGCTTATTCCTAATCTAAATCTGAACTAATCTTACTTTTATTGATTTTTATCTTTATTTTATTATTAATATAATTACAATCATTTTTATTTAAACAACATATAATGATATTTTTATAAAAAATGTTATAAATGTAATTTAAATGAATCTTTAAAGTATTTTTCCATAAATTAAAATTGTTTTTATTTAAGAAGTATAGATTGAAATGTTTCAGAGAAATTTTTAGATATATTATTGAAATAAATTTTCCTTTTATATTTTAAAATGAGTTTATTGTATTTAAATATTATATTTCATAAGGAGAAATAGAAAACTAAAATTGTATAACTCAAACCACTGATTTTATATGATTAGGATTTGATAAAATATAAATGGAAATGAAAATAAGAATGGAGAGTCTTATAGTTATAGAATCAATTAAAATGCTTCGAAAAGGACTTGCTGTTATTTAATGTGGTTAGAATTTCAGATAATGTCCTTTTTTGGTAAAAATATTATTTTATTAAGAACAGAGAAGGGAATAAGTGAAGTTAAGGCATATAAATAGAATATATGCTGAATCAGTTTTTGTTCATTAATACAATTCAAACAATCATGAATTAAAATTTAAAGTACAAATTCAAAAATAAATATTCTAAACTTTTATTTTTTACTTTTGATTATATATATTTATGTATATTAAGATTATAAGATACATAAATTTTTGAGATTAAATTGGCAATAAATACACAACAACAACAATAAGTAGATAAAATCATTTGGAAGCACCATATTAATTAATATCTATATAAGATTTAAAATATAAATGGATAGAATGTAAAGTTCTTTTAAGAATCTACCCTTTATAATCATTTACTATTTAATTTCATTTTGGAAGAGTTTCTATCCTATTCTTTATATATTTTTTGTAATGATTTGCTTTTAATGACGAAGTATACATATTATTTTTATCATATATATTCAGAATATTATAATGGAGATTACTTATTTCATCTAAATATGATATGTAGAATATGCAGGTAATTAGAATTTCTAAATATTTTCTACTCCTAGTTAAGATGAAACTTTTAATTATAAAGAGAAACTTTGAAGGAAGAACAATAAGATAATAAATTGGTTTTAAGAAATCAAACAATGAAATATAGAAATGGATAACCTTTTAACATTGATGGATTTAAGAATTAAAATTAGGATGAAGAAGAGGAGGTCATGCTTATATATATTGATATTAAAAAATTTTTATTAAATTCTCATAAATAAGTAAGTAGAAATATTAATAAAACAACATGATTTTTTTTAGATTGAGGGCTGCCATATTTAATTATTTTTCTGGATTTCTTTATTATATATTGACAAAATAATTATTTTATGTCCTTCGATAATGAAAAGGAGGTGTTTTAGTATTTATAAAAAAAAGAAAAGAAAGAAGACTGAAAATAGTTCTAGCTTTTATATTAAATTCAATGTTTATATCTTAATTTATTGCTCATTATCTTTTTAATGCTAATTTATAAAGTTTAATATAAT